TAACCAAAAACCATATTTAGAAGCTAAATTCTAGGATAACCAACTGAGCTTGTGTGTGAGAAACTGCATCATGAACCTGCTGGTGTTTGTAGCCTTGTTCTTCACTGCCTTCCTTGCATTGCTTCGGCTAGGACTGCCCACGTTGTACTGGTTTGTCCATGGAGCTGTAATGGTTAAGTGCTGATGAATAGGACACAACCCATAGAATGATCCCCCCAAACAATAGAAGTTTCGCAAGTAACACTACAACTGAACATTTGACATGTAAAAGCTTCCAAACCAGAACTACTATGAGACTCAGCTCCCTGATCCAAAAGAAAAGGTAAGTTCAATCCAAACAAAAAGGTGCAAGTAAGATTTCTCAATTTCCCTTCACCAAATACTAAGTATCAATTTCAAGTTAGATTAAAGCCACTTATCTATCATGCTAGAGGATCCAAAGGCAAACATCCTATATCGGGTTANACCAGAACTACTATGAGACTCAGCTCCCTGATCCAAAAGAAAAGGTAAGTTCAATCCAAACAAAAAGGTGCAAGTAAGATTTCTCAATTTCCCTTCACCAAATACTAAGTATCAATTTCAAGTTAGATTAAAGCCACTTATCTATCATGCTAGAGGATCCAAAGGCAAACATCCTATATCGGGTTAAAAAAAAGTATGTCGAGCATCTGCAACAATCTATGAGAACCAAATAGAGTGATAAGGTCGAACCTAGCATAGAACCAGGCCCAAAGCCATGACGAAGAACAGTTAGCACTGTCACCGCATCTAGAAAATCATCTGTCAGAGTATACTCCCAAACCACAGAATAAAAGCTCTTCTCTAAACATCAAAATTTAGAAGATTGCAAGAGTTGATTATCGCTATTACATAATATAATATAATGTACCAAAGTCTTAAGGAAGATAATATGAAGCCATACCTGAACTTATACTCTACTCAAATAAAATTGACAAAATTTGTTTTTAAAACCTACTGTAAAACTAGTAGGTGTGAACAAAATTTGATTCTTTCATATTTTTTAGATAAAAAAAATTATAAAATAAACTGATCTAAAAGTATATCAATAAAAAATCAAAAATCAAATTGAGGTAACAAAAATTAAGCAAATAAATCCACATAATTGAACAATTAGAATAATTTCAATCACATAATTGAAATTATTCAGAGTACTTTCAAGAGATATGCAAAGAAATTCACATAATTGAATCATTAGAGTATTTTCAAGATAAAGTAAAACCTGTAAATTGGAGGTAGTAGAGATTGGGGTTGTGATGTTGGCTTCACACGGCGGCTGAGGCAGGCATATGCACCGTCGATAAATGGGATGGACCGGGATCGTGATACTCTATGAAGATCGGAAGACCACTGCCCGGTGTCGAGGCATCGACGAAGAAGATAAGAACGACGGCTCTGGCTCCAGGCATGAAGGAATGGCGAAGTGGTGAGAGATAGGTTTTTTTTGCGGATAATGAAAATATTAGGCGGGCAATGAAAAATCTGGAGGGATTCTAAAATTTGAGATGAAGCCTTAAATTTTTAAGAAGGATAAAGCTATTTGTACCCCATGTTTTGTACCCCACTTTGTACCCCGTAGCTTTGCACCAACACTTTGTGTTGGTGTAAAACTAATTTTTGTTAATGCACCAATAATTTGTGTCCGTGTAAATTTCTGTTAACGCAGCAACACTTGTGTCCATGTAAACCATCAAAATGTTTGTGTACAACAGCAGTGTCAAATGGGGTACAATTTGTGGTGTAAGTGTAGCATAACCCTTTTAAGAATATTAACTAGATCTGATTGACAAGTATAGATTTGGAGGTAAACTTTAAGAATATTAAAATTGTATAGAAAATTGACAAGTAATTTGATTTTTTTGAAGACTAGATCTGATATTATTGGATTTGAATTTGATTTGATCCGATTAGATCTATTTTGGTCTGATTCAATCTAATTAGATCCGATTTGAAATGGATTTTTTTAATATTTGATCGGATCTTACTAGATATGAATTTGATTTGATATTTTTGAAGATTATATATGATAATATTGGATTTGAATTTGATTTAATTTGATCTGTTTTGGTCTAATTCGATCTAATTTGATCTGATCTTATGCATTTATAGATTAAATCAGGCAATCAAGACATGACCTATATAATTAATTTGTTTTTTTGAAGATTTGATCTCATCTTAATAGATTTGAATTTTATTTGATCTGATCAAATCTATTTTGGTTTGATTCAATCTAATTAGATTTGATATGATGTATTTAAAGATTAGATCAGGGAAATATGACACGACCTATACAATTAAATTGATTTTTCTTAATATTTGATTTGATCTTACTAGATTTGGATTTGATTTGATTCAATATTTTTGAAGATTGGATCTGATCTTATTGGACTTGACTTTGATTTATTTCGATTAGATCGGTTTTTGTCTGATTGAATCTAAACAGTCCGATTAGTTATGTTAAAAACTCTTTTAATTTGATCTAGTCTAATCTGATATGATGAGATATGATTTCATTAGATATCATCTAAACAACATATACACATGTTAAATTGAGATGGAGTGGCTCACATGAAATATGCAAGCAATAAGATCTGATTGAATTTGATTTGATCTTTTCTTATCTGATTAGATCTAATATGCTTGATTTGATTCTAGTTATATTTAAAAATTCTTTCTAATTTGATCTGGTTTAATCTGATTTGATTAGATATCATCTAAACAACATATAAACATGTTAAACTGAGATGCACTGGGTCGCATGAAATATACAAGCAATCAGACCTAATTGGATTTGATTTTATCTTATCTTATCTTATCTAATAAGATCTAATCTTGACTGGTCTAATTGATTTTTTTAATATTTGATCTAATCTTATTGGATTTGACTTTGATTTATTCTGATTAGATCTGTTTTTGTCCGATTTGATCTAATTAGTCCGATTAGTTATGTTAAAAACTCTTTTAATTTGATCTAGTCTAATATGATATGATGAGATTTGATTTCATTAGATATCATATAAACAACATACAAACATGTTAAATTGAGATGTAGTGGCTCACGTGAAATATGCAAGCAATAAGATCCGATTGAATTTGATTTGATCTTATCTTATCTTATCTGATTAGATCTAATCTGCTAGATCTAATTCTAGCAGATTGATCTGGTTTAATATAATTTGATTAGATATAATCTAAACAACATATAAACATGATAAATAGAGATGCAGTGGGTCGCATGAAATATATAAGCAATCAGACCTGATTGGATTTTATTTTATTTTATCTTATCTTATCTTATCAAATTAAGATCTAATTGGAATAGATTTAATCTCCTTGATCAAATTGTAGTTATATTTAAAAAAAATTAATTCGATTTGATTTTATCTTGTTTGATGAGATATGGTTTGATTAGATATCATCTAAGCAACAGATAAACATGTTAAACTGAGATGCAATGATCTGATTTGTTATAATTTTATCTATCTGTGTTTTTTTGAAATACAATAATCTTTTAGAAATAATAATATTTTGAAAGTATTTTATAAAATAAATATAAAATTATTTGGTACCAATATCTAAAGTCAATTTTATTTTAGTGGTCAAAGTTTATGAATTTTGTCGTAAAAGACCGATCGGTACTAACTAATCAAGAGAATTAATACGGACTAGGTGGAACCTATATTTGCTTGTTAAATGATTCGAAAAATTATACTGTTGGGTAGGGATCAATGAATCGAATCCAACGATGCAAACGGATCTCAATTCGGAGCAAGTTGGCCCGAAAGGTGTGTTTTACTCAGACAGGTTATTTTAAATTACAGAGAGCAAAACCCTAGGCATATATATACTCTTTTCACGCCTCTTTCTTCCCCGATCGAGACACGCTGCCACTAGACCTAGCCAGTTTTCCTTCTCTGACGAACTCCGATCACCGTCCCCCACAGCAGGCTCCGGCGACTCCCTCTGTCCCGACGAAGTCCAGCAGCGACGGGGAAGGGCGATGTCACGAGGCCAGTCGACGTCTAAGAATGGAGAATTTTCAATCAGACAGAGGGGTGGTGGTGATGATCTCCACCGGTGACGAGGGTAACAGCGGCGAGAAGGGGGGGAGTGGCCTCCATCTTTTCCAGTGAATTAAAAAGTGGGGAGTCCAGCAAGCATCCTCTGCTCTGGCGAAAATAGCAGCAAAGGTGTCTAGAAGGTAGGCCGGCGACGGCGTCTGGGCAGCGACTCTGGCGATATATGCTATATCTGCAATGTTTCTTTTCACTACCCAATCGCCAACTGGAGTTGTGAGTTTCCTTCTAGTTTCAATCGGATCTGTTAAGAAAATGTAAATGTCGCTAGGCTTTTCTCACTAAAGCCTAACAGTTGTGGATTTATGAAAAGCTACAAATTCTGCATCTATTGTGACTTAGCTTTGATTGTGAATAGATGTATGCTGCGGCACAACATGCTTAATGAGTCTGTTTGACTCATTAGAGTATATTAAGGTCTAATTTATGAACTATTTAGGATAATTGTTGGAGCTGTTTTAAGGTCATGTGTGTGTTTTAGTATACTCATAGGTAATATCTTCTATTGTAAATTTCATCACATACCGGGAATAGTAGAAGCTAGAGTTGAGAATATTAACGAAGGATGGAGTGTGTTACAGGCTGGAAGCAGTGCACTGGCTGTGGGATCCAACAATGTGAATGAGAAATATTTGAAGTGTATCGTTCTCACTGGTAAAAAGAAATATTTGATCTGTTCTCCTTCCAACTTGCATCCTTGTCTACATTTTCAAGTGTATCGTATATATATTACTGAATACATATTTTTCTGAAATGTTTGTAGGATTAAGTCATCCCTTAACAGACTTACTTCTCAAGTAAAATTCTACTCAATTGATTTTCTTGTTGTTATTGAGCCAATTTTGGCTCCAAATAAGTTGGACTCCTGGGATGTTCTTAACAACAAGGTCTGGATATTTTACAATAACGCAAGACTCTTTCTTTGAAAAATCGATGAGCTTGATCAATTGGTCAATTGTACTTTTTGGGACATTTCTAGTAGAGTATATGGAAAGCACATAGGAAGAGAAAGAAGAACACTCTTGAAAAATATTATTGACACCTCTGTCATTTCACACCAATGGTTTATTGGCAGTGATTTTAATACGATCACTTGTTTAAGTGAGCATAAAGGCAATACTCCTAATCATACTGATATGACTGCAGATTAATCACAAACCTCTACTAGTCACTTGCATGAAGGTTCTTTTCCTCGGTTAGGTTAATCTTTTGGTGATTCAACTCATATATGTTTTTCTTGCAGATTATCATGGTCACAACGGCATCAAGAATTGAAGGTCTATATTCCCCTGATTCAATGCTGGATGTTATTGAGGGGACAAATAACTAAATTAAGCATGCTCAATGGACAATTAGAATGTGATCTTAATTATGTAAAGATTAAATTATTGGATGCTATTAAGATTTTGGATTGTATATTTGTATGTATTTAGATATTATTCAATATATTGTACATTTTGGAATTTATTTTTGTTTCATGATCAATATTTTAGAATTGAAATAAATTTTAATTATTAAATATAATTGTAAATTGAAATATAGTAGTCTTTCAAAAAGCTTTACAATGTATTTAAACAGTTTTCTAAATCTTTAAAGGATGACTACACAAACCTGAATTATTAATAAACGTTAGACAATTTAAACAAACAGTTGTATGAAATACAACAAATAAGGTTGTGTACATTTTAAAAATACAACACATAATAGCAGTTGTTTATGCAAACATACTTAGTTGTCTTCGGCGCAGTAGTCTGATTTATAATCTGACTAGTGTGTAAAATGATAGTTTGAATATTTCAAGGACAACTACAAAAAAACGCAGTGTTATTGAGCACTATACAACTGAAAGAAACGGTTGTTTAAAATATAGAAAAATTAGTAGTCCATATTCTAGAAATACAATAAAAGATAACAGTTGTCTAATCCTATTTTTGTTTAGTAGTCTTCCGAGCAGCAGTCTGATATATCTTTCAATTACTTTTTAAAGTAGATGTCAATATTGTTGAACGACAACACCAAGAATTAGGAGTCTGAAGTTAGAAACAACAGTAGTATTCATTATAGATAGACAACAAAAAATCACAGTTATCTTTAACTCTAAAAAACAGATGTCTTACTCATACGGGGACAACACTAAAAAGTGGTACTCTAAAACATTACAAAAAAGGTGTCGTCAACCATTTTACACAATTGTTTTTAAACAATAGTCTGTAAATATATCAGACAGCTACTCGGAAGACTACTGAAATCAGCACCGAGAGACTACTAAAAGAAACAGTTGTCAGCATCTGTTTTTGACGTAGTGGTTGATGAGAATACATAGCTTCATGTCTACATTCTCATTTATATCTCATAGTTATCTTCAAATAAATTGGAATATAACCTAAATGTTTTAGTATTAATCCTTACTCATTTGCTTTTACATTTCTTAAGAATGTAGTAGTTGTTATAATTAATCACTATGTGTATATAATGTCTTGCAACTATATTTTTTTTTATAATTTATTGTTATAGAATCTACCCGTATGGATCAAGAAGAGGAGAACAAGTATACTGAAGATGAGATGTGTAGGTATGAGGAAAAGAAGACAAGAGGTCCAACTCTGATGTCAGACCTAATTCATGGTAGGAGCAAAGGAGCACGCTTAGAAGTAATGTATAATGAAAAGGGGCAACCAATTGGTTCTGGAGGAAAACAACTAGCTTCTTTTATTGTAGTAATGGCTCGAACCACTGTTCCGATTACATATGTCACATAGAAAGATGTACCACAATATCTCAAAGAAATTATATGGAGCATGGTTCAGGTATGTAAAATATTACTAAAATTTTAACAGTATCATGGGCACATTAACTTACGTTATCATTTGTCTAGGTTAACCCGTATGTTCTTTTGTTGTTGCATCCATGTTTCCACAATCTCTCAAAGAAAATATTGTTGCTTTAGGAACTATTATAATGTAGGATGGGCCACTACATCGAGTACCACTTGGGGAAGAAAATATACGTATTTCAATTGAAGTGGCTATTAAGGAAGATGCTTACCTTCCGGTCCCAAATATTGCAGGTGACATCTTCACAGTAAAGAATGCCATTGGCACACATGTCGCTTGGCCTAGACATCTTGTTTTAGTGTCAAATGAAGAGGTATATTACATTTGTTCATATGTCATTGATTAAAACTTATTATACCGCTAACATTATCTGAATTCATACTTAGGATGCAATGGGCAAGCCGAAGTGTCCGAGTAAACAATCATTTACACGAGTAGGATACAAAATGCCTATGTCTGTGCATCTTCTCTTGCGTTTTGTTAGGTAAATGGATGAAAATGAAAGAATATCTTTGATAATGGAAGACGGTGTGTTTGGCATGGAGCAAAACAATTTCATTAGCAAAAATGATATCAGTCACTTTTGTTTAATGAATCCAATATCTAGTATTTGCATTTCTATATACATGAGGTAAGTGAAGTGTGTTTAATGTACTAAAACTTATACTGTTTAACTTATATGCTATTTATATTAGAACATATATTTAAAATCTTTTATAGGCANACTAGTTGTTATCAACCCTTTGGCGGAATTGGTGTATTACCTTGACCCGTTGAGTGACATGAATGTCAATCTTGGAATGAAGAATGTTATCGAAATGTAATGATTTTTATCTTTTTATACTTTTCCTTAATGAGAAATGGGTGGAGACTATTTTAATTTTATTAATACAATTTATATGCAGTGCCATGAAGATATTTTATGCTCAAAAAGGTGTAAATAGTCGTAAAAAAGTGTTGGAACACACTTTGTACGATAAACTAAAGTCGTGTTCATTTCTGACAGGTTTTGATAATTGCCAAACCGCCGTGGATATGAAAAGTTTCGTTGAATAACTCAAGGCATGAACAATGGCTTGGAACAAGACCAAAAAGACTCAAGGACAAGATCAAGAATTGAAGACTTAATCGAGTCGGTCTTTTGTGATCAAAACCAACAATAAATTCAAGTCTCGGTTCTCAAAGAGTCAAAACAATTTTTACAAATCATAAAATATTTTTTTTGCATCAAAATAAATATTTTTGATGATTCTTTTATTGTTAAAATCCCTGGTCCTTGCTCAGAACCAAAATCACCTAAGTCGGCGTACGGTGTTCGGCGTCCAGCTTTCGGTGTTCAGCGTTCGGTTTTTTGGCTCCCGAACCTACTCGGTGATTTTCAATGTTTTAAACCTCGCTTTTATCTCTGAGCATATTTAAAAGGTTCCCAAATAATTATTTCATAAAAACCACTTTTGTATCTTGGTCAATCCGTCTAACACGTGAAAAACGGTCAAAACCGTACACACGTGATTTACGACCTTGGAGACTTGGTTTTTACCAAACAAGTCTTGGTTCCACTATTTTATTCCATATACAATGTTTTTAAAACTTGGTTTTTACTTTTGGGAACACTTCGTTTTTGGACCTCGGTTTTTCAAAACGGGCTTCAGCTGGCTAGACTTTAGCTGGGTGATAATCGATTATCACCTTAGTGACAATCGACTATCAGCCCTGCAGCTTTGAACTTCCAAAGTTCTGAAGCACGCAATAATCGATTATCACTTATGTAATAATCGATTATCAGTCTTTGCAGCCAAAACCCAGACTCTTCTGAGAGGACCAATAATCGATTATCACTTGTTGACAATCGATTATCTGGGTTACTGTTGTCCTCCAACGAATAGAATTTTAAATTTTTGGACAAGGAATCTTTTGATAATCGATTATCAAGCTTGGATAATCGACTATCAGTTTGTGTCTCTGAAAAATTTGTCTTCATCTTGTTGGAAATTCTAGCAACAGATTTATCCCATTTTGGGCTATAAAATGGCACCCAAATCCTCTCATTTTACACACAATTCTTCAACATTTCAATACTCTTTCATTGCATAAGCATTCTTATTTTTTCTTAGCTATTTGAGAGCCAATTCTTGAAGAAATTGTCGTGTTCTTGAGCGTTTACTAGTTCACTCATATCTACTCTTTGTGAGAGTTTTATTCCTGAGTGTTTAAGTGTTTTCATACACTTTAAGGGAGGTTGTTCCCTTGTTGTAAACTCGAAAGAAAGTTCTTTGTTCCTTCGTGAGAAGTCTTGGAGTGCGGTATCTCCGAGCAAAGGCGTTGAGGCTCGTGTGACTCG